TTAATGGGGTTTTATTACTTTGGTAACCTCTTGGTCATAAATGGAGGTTAAATAGAATTTATGAACTTGGTTAATGGTCATTTTTGGTGTAACCATTTTCTTGTTTAATGGTCATTATTTTGGTGTAACCATTTTCTTGTTTAATGGTCATTATTTTGGTGTAACCATTTTCTTGTTTAATGGTCATTATTTTGGTGTAACCATTTTCTTGTTTAATGGTCATTATTTTGGTGTAACCATTTTCTTGTTTAATGGTCATTATTTTGGTGTAACCATTTTCTTGTTTAATGGTCATTATTTTGGTGTAACCATTTTCTTGTTTAATGGTCATTATTTTGGTGTAACCATTTTCTTGTTTAATGGTCATTATTTTGGTGTAACCATTTTCTTGTTTAATGGTCATTATTTTGGTGTAACCATTTTCTTGTTTAATGGTCATTATTTTTGGTGTAACTGTAAGGTCCTTATAGCCTATATATATAGTCTACTCTTTTCTATCTATAGATATAAGCTATTTTCTATACAAGAGAGATTACTAGCAAACAAGGGTGTTTTATTAGTGGAGCTTTGGGTTCACCATCTTGTGCAGAGTTGGCCTGAACCATACGACAAGTGGTCGGGCTGTTGTATCCTGGAGGGGACAAGTCATAGTATTGTGACTGCTGCATCGGTATTTGGATTCTTCCTACCGCAGTGGGCTTGATCTCCTTAAAGAAAACGAGATATCAGTGCCTCAGCCTGATCTATTTGTATCTCATTTTCTTTGCATCATTTATCAATAATATTGTTTAGTTTCTGGTATTTTCTCCAACACTTATAAATTATACTTGGAAGAATTCATGAAATATATAAGGAATAGCCTCATTTTCTGTGCACGTATTCATATGCTCCTGTATGCATGCGTTAGCATACTGTTGCAGTAACTTACTACATTATGTGTCAAACAAAATTGGTTACTGACTCGGTTTTGTTTTCTTTGTAGCTTTTTGTTTTGCACACAATTATTTTGTGTAAATTCATTTCTTTGATGCTTCTAGGTGGTTCTTGGAGTTGGTCAGGATGCTTCAGCGGTCACAACTACTGACCATTGTTCTGGGAAGTTTGAAGCCAAATTATTTGACAAGGTAAAGTGTATTTTTCACATATGATATGTAAATTATTATGTGGTGGTGAGTTGGAACTCTACTCAACACAAGCAGCCTTTGTCCCAATTACTTGGGTTGGTCTCAATATCTGTACGCTAAAAGCCATGTCATTTATAAAGTTTAATGCAATTGTACATATTCTCACTGCTTCATACATATTCTTGGCCTTTCTCTATTTCTTTTAGCACCCTCATCATGAATTTGATTACTCCTCTCACATCACATGCATGTCAGTTGGTGTGATGGTGATACCATCTACAACAACTTTCCTGCATTTTATTTTCTATTGGTGCCACTTTTTATTTCCATTTAGTGCATTCATATTTTGTTTTTTCTTTTCATGCAACACCACTCGTCATTTTCAACATTCTCATTTTAGCGACTCTACAGATGGTGGGATGGTCAACAAAGACTATGTGGTCTTATATTGATTTGACCTCTTTTTATTACAGATTTGTAACTATCAACTTTTTACCGTTTTAAGTTTTGGCCAAAGCCTACGGGATATTGATATGGACTAGAGTCACAGGCTGTTTGATTAGGATATATTTGGGCAGCAGAACACTCGCTTCTAATTTTGGCTTATGGCTCATTGCCTCTTATGGTCGAATGCCTCTGTTATTCAACAAGGCATTGGTTTGCAAAACGTGTTAAATTATTATTGATTTTCATTTGCAGAGACTGTTGAGTCTATGCTCACAATCAAGGGCCCTCAGGGAAGAATAAATAGAGCTGTCTGGGGACCCCTGAACAAAACTATCGTAACTGCTGGTGAAGATGCTGTAATTCGTATCTGGAATTCTGAGGTGAGCATTCTACATGTCCTGTGTTTTTCTTCGTGGACATAAATTATGGAAACAGAACATTTTGAACATTGCAAATTTTCTGTATGCAGTTTTTTTCTTAGTTCTTTGTTTTTCCTGTTGTTTCGAAGCAGTACTTTAGCTTTAGTTTTGGCATTTGGCAATTTTTTTCCCCAACTATGTTTTTATTCATTAATGTTTACTTGTGAATTGGGCTGAAGTTGAAGTTGTGCATTGTTTTCCGAACTAGCAGACAGGAAAATTGCTTAAAGAGTCCGACAAGGAAACTGGTCACAAAAAGACAATTACATCACTCACAAAATCTGCAGATAGCTCACATTTTCTCACTGGTTCCCTAGATAAATCTGCTAAGGCATACTAACTTGTAACTCTTAAAAAGTTTTTAATACTTAATCTACCTTCCATTGTTTTGAACCTTTTCTTATTGGTTTTTCTCCGTGACTTTGTTAGCTTTGGGACATCAGATCGGTGACACTTATCAAGACCTATGTGACGGAACGTCCAGTTAATGCAGTTGCTATGTCTCCACTTCTTGATCATGTACGTGTTAATGAAGCACTAGTTTTAAGGGTGACGGTCATAATGATATAGGTGCTATGATTCCCAGTAGTGCATGTTTCTCAATGGATTGTCTTGTCATTTGTTTTATCCCCTCATTAATCATATTTTTGTTTATAGGAGTGCACTCACTGTTACCTAGCTGGAAATTGAAGCAATGATTTCTTAATGTTGTAACAATTATTATCGTTTTCTTAAGTTTTTAACAGAATATGAGCATTCGTAAGTACATTATTGTATATCATTGTTGCTTATAAATTATACTTGGAAGAATTCATGAAAAATATGAGGAATAGCCTCATTTTCTTTGCACGTATTCATATGCTCCTGTATGCATGTGTTAGCATACTGTTGCGGTAACTTTCTACATTATGTGTCAAACAAAATTGGTTACTGACTCGGTTTTATTTTCTTTGGAGCTTTTTGTTTTACACTCACAATTATTTTGTGTAAATTCATTTCTTTGTTGCTTCTAGGTGGTGCTTGGAGGTGGTCAGGATGCTTCAGCTGTCACAACTACTGACCATCGTGCCGGGAAGTTTGAAGCCAAATTCTTTGACAAGGTAAAATTGTATTTTCATAACGTGATTTGTAAATCATATTTGTCCCAATTACTTGGGTTGGTCTCAATATCTGTACCCTAAAAGCCATGTCAGTTATAAAGTTTAATGCAATTGTACATATTCTCACTGCTTCATACATATTCTTGGCCTTTCTCTATTTCTTTTAGCACCCTCATCATGAATTTGATTACTCTTACATCACATGCATGTCAGTTGGTGTGATGGTGATACCATCTCCAACAAGTTTCCTGCATTTTATTTTCTATTGGTGCCACTTCTTATTTCCATTTAGTGCATTCATATTTTGTTTTGTCTTTTCATGCAACACCACTCGTCATTTTCAACATTCTCATTTTAGCGACTCTACAAATGGTGGGATGGTCAACAAAGACTATGTGGTCTTATTTTGATTTGACCTCTTTTTATCACAGATTTGTAACTATCAACTTTTTACTGTTTTAAGTTTAGGCCCATGCCTACAGGATGTTGATATGGACTAGAGTCACAGGCTGTTTGATTAGGATATATTTGGGCAGCAGAACACTCACTTCTAATTTTGGCTTATGGCTCATTGCTTCTTATGGTCGAATGCCTCTTTTATTCAACAAGGCAATGGTTTGCAAAACGTGTTAAATTATTATTGATTGTCATTTGCAGAGACTGGTGAGCCTGTGCTCACAATCAAGGGCCCTCAGGGAAGAATAAATAGAGCTGTCTGGGGACCCCTGAACAAAACTATCCTAAGTGCTGGTGAAGATGCTGTAATTCGTATCTGGAATTCTGAGGTGAGCATTCTACATGTCCTGTGTTTTCCTTCGTGGACATAAATTATGGAAACAGAACATTTTGAACATTGCAAATTTTCTGTATGCAGTTTTTTTCTTAGTTCTTTGTTTTTCCTGTTGTTTCGAAGCAGTACTTTAGATTTAGTTTTGGCATTTGGCAATTTTTTTCCCCAACTATGTTTTTATTCATTAATGTTTATTTGTGAATTGGGCTGAAGTTGAAGTTGTGCGTTGTTTTCCGAACTGGCAGACAGGAAAATTGCTTAAAGTGTCCGACAAGGAAACTGGTCACAAAAAGACAATTACATCACTCACAAAATCTGCAGATAGCTCACATCTTCTCACTGGTTCCCTAGATAAATCTGCTAAGGTATACTAACTTGTAACTCTTTAAAGTTTTTAATACTTAATCTACCTTCCATTGTTTTGAACCTTTTCTTATTGGTTTTTCTCCGTGACTTTGTTAGCTTTGGGACATCAGATCGTTGACACTTATCAAGACCTATGTGACGGAACGTCCAGTTAATGTAGTTGCTATGTCTCCACTTCTTGATCATGTACGTGTTAATGAAGCACTAGTTTTAAGGGTGACGGTCATAATGATATAGGTGCTATGATCCACAGTAGAGCATGTTTCTCAATGGATTGTCTTGTCATTTGTTTTATCCCCTCATTAATCATATTTTTGTTTATAGGAGTGCACTCACTGTTACCTAGCTGGAAATTGAAGCAATGATTTCTTAATGTTGTAACAATTATTATCGTTTTCTTAAGTTTTTAACAGAATATGAGAATTCGTTAGTACATTGTTGTATATCATTGTTGCTTATAAATTATACTTGGAAGAATTCATGAAAAATATGTGGAATAGCCTCATTTTCTGTGCACGTATTCATATGCTCCTGTATGCATGTGTTAGCATACTGTTGCGGTAACTTTCTACATTATGTGTCAAACAAAATTGGTTACTGACTCGGTTTTATTTTCTTTGGAGCTTTTTGTTTTACACTCACAATTATTTTGTGTAAATTCATTTCTTTGTTGCTTCTAGGTGGTGCTTGGAGGTGGTCAGGATGCTTCAGCTGTCACAACTACTGACCATTGTGCTGGGAAGTTTGAAGCCAGATTCTTTGGCAAGGTAAAGTGTATTTTTCACATGTGATATGTAAATGATATGGGCTCAATAAATTCCTAAACTTCTTGAGGAAAAATTTTCTTCCTTGTGTTTAATTAGGTTCTTCAAGAAGAAATTGGAGGTGTCAAAGGGCACTTTGGACCAATAAATGCTTTGGCATTCAATCCAGATGGTAAGTGATAAGAATTATTATACAGAAGCAGCCACGGCTTCAACTTCAGCAACAGTTTCTGCAGAAGCAGCAGCCACGGCTTCAACTGCTTCAAACCAACAAGAAGAAGCTCCAAGTTGGTGAAACTCCAAGTTGGTGAGAAACCAACAAAACAAGAAAAACAAAGATAAAAAAAACACAAAAAAAAGCAGAAACTTGGAGCATCAAAACAGCACCAAAAACCGAACAAGCTCACACCAAAACAAGGAAAACAAAGAGGTATTGGTTTTTTACATTACAGCTGCTGCATCTTATTTTTTTTAATTAAACTTGTTTGACTCATGATGACGCGTCGGGATCCTCTAGAGTGAGAAGCCTGCAGTCATCTCCTAGAGTGATTGATCCAACGGTTGACATTAAATCTCACCAAAACGACGTCGTTTTGGTGAGAAAAGGATAAAATAAGTTTAAATAGTTAATAAAATAAAATATCAGATTAAATTCATAATCATTTTACTTTTCTCTTACAAATATCACATCCAATTAAAAAAAAAAATCTAACTATCTTCGCAAACACAAAAATTTTAGCCTACTAAAATAGTCAAAAACTAAAATAACTTACTAAAATAGCAACTTCTCAAACACCCACAATGACGGATGAGTACTTGTTACAAGTTGGCAACACCAGATGAGCTACAAACTAGTGTAGTTCAAGTGTAATTGCATGTTTTGGATGCAATGGGGTTAGAAATGTTATTTTGGACTGTTTGGTTAAGTTTATTTCAAATAATTTTTTATTCTAACAATTTATTTTAACTCAAAAAGTTGATTTTGAGAAGTTGCTCACCCTACTTCTGATTATTGACTTTTGGTATGAGCATGTTAATTTACGATTATATCCTTAAAAATATTGTAAAAATAGAAAAAGACTCAAATAGACTATGAATAATAATTAAAAAAAATATTATTAGGAAATGTGAACTAATAGTAAATAACAAAAAATAAAAGTTAAATTTATAACTATTAAAAACTAATTCAATTTATAATTAAAAGGAATAAAAATAACATTTTTTTTATCAGCAAAAAGGAAGCTTTATTGATGGGAAAACATACAAAGTATGGTACAGAACATCAATAAAGAGGAGGGTGCAAAAAGTATCGCCATGAAATATCAAGATCCCAACTAGGTTGGCACCTAGATACACACCAAATCATCTGCTAGCACACACTCAAAACTCCAAGTTGGTGAGAAACCAACAAAACAAGAAGAACAAAGATAAAAAAAACACAAAAAAAAAAAACTGCAGAAACTTGGAGCATCAAAACAGCACCAAAAACCGAACAAGCTCACACCAAAACAAGGAAAACAAAGAGGTATTGGTTTTTTACATTACAGCTGCTGCATCTTATTTTTTTTAATTAAACTTGTTTGACTCATGATGACAACAGCCCATCAGTTTTAAAGTTTGGTACAAATACTTTTAGAAAAATTGAGCAAACGAGAGAAATTTCAAAACATAGGCAAATTTTAGATAAATTTCTCTGTGTTTTAAAATTTCTCTAGATCAAAATTTCTCTGGAAAAATATTGAGGTACCTGAACCACTATGCAAATATTGCATGTCTTTTATCCTATAAAATCTTAATACCAGATACCTTTAAAACAAAAAAAATCCCATAAATTAAAAATGTAAGCAAAAATGTTGTAAAGTTACATAATTAATTTTAATTATATTTGGATTTAAATTGAGTGTCCTCCTTATACATTACATCAAAATAAAACACATAAATTAAAATAATTGAAGAAAAATATATGGTGAAAAATAAATGGGGTTGAACAAAAATCTTCTTCAAACTCGTGGTCTCTTTGAAACCACTTGAGTTTTAGGGGGGCTATTAGTAAATATAATAGTAAATATATTTTGTATAGATATTATATAGTAACATATATTATTTCCATAATAGGGTAAATAAAAAAGCTAATTAAATAAAACTCTAATAATAGAAAAATTGAGAGAAAAATATATTTTTTTATTTTAATAATTAGATTTGAATTATTAAAAAAAATTCAAGTTCAAATTTAACGATATATATAAAAATGAAAAATGTTTTTGAGCTCTAAATTTTGAGTTATAAAGTCAGCTCTAATGAGCTAGCAGTGGACCCCACCCAATGTGATGTGATGTGATGTGATGTGATGTTTTGGTTTTGGTTTTGGTTTTTTTTTTTCCCCTCGTCCCCCTCCTTGCGATGTCATTAGTGTTCCATTAGAGCAACACAATTAGTGCTTTGAATCATTGCGGTATAAAAATAAGATAATTGTGAGTGAAAAAAATAAATTAAATAAAACTAACAATAGAAGAATTGAGAGAGAAATATTTCATTTATTTTTTTAGTCATTAGATTTGAAATATTTTAAATAGAAGTTTATCATATCTTTTTGAGTTCTATAAGACAAAATTAGGAATGAGTGTATTCGAGAATGGGTAAGAGTAACACAGATAGAAGATATGTTGAGAGAGAATCGATTGAGATGGTCTAGTCATATTCAACGGAGACCGACTGAGGCAGTAGTGGAGAGATATAATGTTGTAACTGTAGATGAAAGTGTTAGGGGATGGGGTTGGCTTAGATTAACGTTGGTTAGCATTGTAAATAAAGATATGGATATACTTAATTTGACTAACGAAATAGTCTTTGATAGGGCCAAATCGAGAAGAAGGATTCATAGCCGACCCCATTTAATGGGACTAAAGGCTTGGCTTGGTTTTGTTTGGAATGGTCTAGTCACGAATAATTTAAACAATAAAAAAATTGACTCAAAATTAAAAAATAAAAATCTGAAAATTTACAAAATCTTTATAAGCCATAAATCTTTGTATAATTACAAAAAGATCAGAATTATAAATAAATCAGTAATTTATGGCTTATAAATCTCAAAATCTTTATAAGCCATAAATCTTTATAAAGATTTATTTATAGATAATTATATGAATACTCATAATTAGTTCATTTATTTATAGATAATTACAAAATAATTATCTAATTGTTTACCATTTGTTTTTAGACATTGATAGTATAATTATTTTGTTCAATAACTTTTTTGATTTCAGGGTCAGTACCAGGTAACTTAAAAGGAGAGGCTGGGACTTCGGAGCCGTGAGCATCAATAATTATGGTAGATAAAGGAGGATGGCTAGAACTAATAGTAGTAGTAGGAGAAGTTTTCCATTTATGTTTTGTGATTGTTTTAACTTCTTTGTAATGGTCGTCTAAATATTCAAAGAAAGGAATTTCAATATTATGTTCAATCATAAATTTGAACCATTTTCGAGTGACTACGGATTGTTGATTAGAATTATATTTAAGTCGATAAGCATGACGCTTGATTTTATTAATTTTAGATTTAAATTCAATGTGTAATTTATCAAGATCGAGAGCAAAAAATTTACTAATAGTCATTAATTGAGGATTGATTTGAGGTATAACTTCGAAATTAGTTTGAGTTGGAGAATCTTGAGATTCAGTGTCATCTTCAGGTAAATGTGTGTTGAATAAACAGGTTTACTAATTTGAGAAGTGGAGTTATCTACGCCTTTTATTTTACTATGGGAAGTTTGACCAATATGAATTTGACTATTTTTTCTAAACAAAGGTGTATTAAATATTTCGTCTTCAGTTTCAGTATCAGTAGGTATACTAGAAATACTATGACGAGAAGATTGAGATCGTTTAAATTTAATCCTAACAGATCCATCAATAAATTGTTGGATATCTTGAATATTTTGACAAGTAGATTAGCGTTGATTATGTTTGTAATTTTTATTAACTGTAATTCATTGGTCAGGGAGAGCAATATTTTTACATTCAATCATTTGAGGATTATTTATATTACTACCATTATTACTACTTTGGATTGATAAGGTTTTGTCTTTAGGACTTTTCTGTAAGGCTTGAACATTTAAATTGGTTTTAATAAATTTGTAATGAATACGATAAATTAAAGTAATATTATGAACTGGTTCTTTCATATGTGTAAATGAGTCATGTAATTGAATTTTTAGAGTTAAAGCATCTAGTATATGAGTGTAACGCCTTCAGAATAATACAAAATACCCAACATTTTAGACATGCATTGATACAAAAGAAATCAACATTTCTATTCATCAGAGTAATTCTTACAACTGTATTACATGTTAACAACAAAAGTAAATGCCCTAAGGGCTACAGCTTTCCAAGTTAACACTTGGTTACAAAAAAAAGAGTACTAACTCAATACATATTAAGCCCTTGGCTTGAATTTACATGTAATACATCAAAATAAACAAAAAAAAAAGAGTCTTCAACTCTCATCATCATCCAAGCTATGTCTTTGGAGGTGACATACTACCGTACCTGAAAATAATGTCCCATAAAGGGTGAGCCAACGCCCAGTAGAGATATGCTTAGCAATTGATAAATGTTTAATTTCCATAAACCAATTCATAATCCATTTCCATTTCATGACCATATGTTCATGTTTCATTTTAGTTTCCATTTCTTATCAATTTCACATTTTTCATCAACGGCTCAAAACCTAGCCAACCACTTATATGAGACAATGACTCATATTAAACATCTCTCATTTATACAACAGATAAACATACTAATTGTATCAACATCTCAACAGATAAGCATACAAGCTATATCCACATTTCAACAGATATGCATATTAGCTATATCAACACTTCCAAAGATAAGCATATAAGCTATATCAACACGTTAACTGACAAGCATATGAGCTGTATCAGTGGAGTCCATCCCCTATCTCCTCCCAAACAACATCCGGTTTAGAGGTCCATCCCCTATCTTCCCCTAAACCGTGGAGTACATCCCCTATCTCCTCTCACACACACAATGCATATATACACAAAGGTCATTATACACAATCAATCAATACATATCGTTAATGTATTCTGTCAACCGTCATACTCTATGACATATCCAATTGATTAGTTTTAGTTTGCCTAATCATCATGCATTGTCTACAACAATCAAAACTACCCTCCACCGGTAGCCCAAGCAATTATTTCTAAACAGATAATAAAAGCTCCAACAGATAAAATATCAATGTTTTCAAAAGTGAGCGATTAACAAATCTAACTCCACTATTCAACCATATAATGACGCAATTCCATTATTTCCAACTCGATTCCATATAACCACAATTTCCTCAAATTAATCATACCAATTAATTTATACAACCAAGTAGGGTTTTCTACCCCATTTCTCAATATTGACCCAATGGTCTATATTTCAACAACCAACAACAATAACACCATTTTGAAACCCAAATACACATTATGAGCCCAAAATCACAAAACCCTCTTTAACACATTTTGAAACCCTATGTTTCAAAATCTCCCAAATTCAACACTTTATCAAAACAACTAAAAATCTAGGTCAAAGACCATAAGAGTGAGTAGGAATCCCTACCTCAAAAGATGAGACCCAAAGAAGAAGATGGTCAAAACGAAGTTGCTTCAAACCACGAGTTCCTCGGATCAAAAGATAGCCCTCGACGATCAACAACCTTTTTGCAAAGACCAAAGGTGAGGAAAACACCCTAGCTAGATCAATATCTAGAGAGAAGGCAAGGTTTTAGAGAGAGAGGCTCTCAAATGGCTTTTTCGGAAAAGTAAGAGAGAGAAAGGATGAGAAAAAGTGATTTAAAACTGCCTCATAGCCAACTGATATACGACATTCCCGCTCGAGCGGAAAACACAACGCCTGAGCGTCAAGAACAAAAACTAGGTCCGCTCGAGCGCAATAAGACCCGCTCGAACGCCAAGACACAAGAATAAAGCACATCCGCTCGAGCTCGAAAACCAGTCCGCTCGAGCATAGATTTTCCCCTCCCAGAACTTACACCCAAAGGTACTACCCGCTCGAGCGCCAAAGTACCCGCTCGAGCGTGAAAAACACACCTGCAGAAGTTTTGTAGGGACACGAAAAACTGGGAGTGTGCAATCTCCGCTCGAGCGCACGAAGACCCGCTCGAGCGGAACTCCTAAAATCTGGGCAACAAAGAATTGAAACCAAAGCCTAACCAACCTGTAACAACTCTGACCAATACATCCTAAAACTCAATCAAGTGGAATTAAAGGATGACAACAAGGTGTACCACTACCAACATCACGGAACAGAGTCCGGAATACAACAGAACAGTAAAGGGACAACCGGGATCGCTGTAATGAGGGTCTCTAAGACTAAGAGTGAAATTAGGAAAACAATTAAAATGGATAGGTCATCTTTGAAAACCAGTTTCCATCATACCCATTATGTAACGCCCTCAAAATAAACCCATTATATGTATATCATCAACATGCATTATTTAAAGAGAACAATTTATTCATTCATTCATCAGAGTAATACTAAATAAAAACATTACGTGTAACATCAAATTAAATGCCCTATGGGCTTACATCTTTCCAAGCCAACACTTAGACACAAAATATGAGTTCTATCTCAAATACAAATAAAGCCCAAGGCTTGATTATTTATCAAATAAAAACAAGTAACTAAAGATAGTCTTCAAAATCCAAATCCTTTCAAGCTAAGTCCTGGGAGGTAGCTTATCACCTGAACCTGAAAATGATGTTCCCATAAAGGGTGAGCCACAGCCCAGTAGAGATATACTAAACCAAATATAACAATAACTAAAACATTAGCATTTGATAAATGTTTAACTCATATAAACAAACATCCATCTCTTTCATAATCAATCCATGTTTACAAATATGTTTCAACTCCATTTCCTTTTTCGTTAACCAAACCAATTCATAGATATGGTTCTCTATTTATCCAGACAGTTTAAAATGAGACTACAACTCATATTAAAAAC